TGTACAGGGTTTCCGAGGCTGTAAATCTTTATGGGAGCAGAAAGCCTCATCTTTCTCCCATGGAACAGCTGGTAGTTTCAAACTGCTGACCGTGATGTTTGCAGCCCAATTTGTAACCACTACGCTACCAGAGCTCCTTAACTTTGTGGCTAGTCCTAGGTTTATTGCTACTGCCAGAAAATAAAATAGTAATGTGGCTTTTCAGTATTTTCAGATTATTCATAGAGAAGATCGTTCAACTCCAAGAAATGCTGTATTTTCAGTAAAATTTATTCATTTGCTTAATTAACAGGAAATAACTTATTTTATTTTATTTTTATGCTATGGATTATAAAAGTTTAGAGTTAAGATTTCAGTTTATATAGTCTGATTTATTACAATATTACTGGTGTGAAACTCCTAGTTTTTGAAAATAACATATTTTATATAATTTTCACAAATGATATGTGTAATAAGGTTATGCTATGATATTTTGTGGTTTACATTTATAGTAGTATATTTAACTGATGACCAGCATGACAATTAGCATCAGCTTGAGTTCTTAGGGTTGAGATAAGAATGTACATAAGTTTTAGGAGTCTCATCAAATGCTTAATGTGGTTTTATTTAAATTAATTTTACCCATGGTAGGTAGAGTTGAGGATGTTATTAAGTGGTATTTGCTTGTTTTGACCATCCAGATGGTTAATAAGCTTTAAAGAGCTATTATAAAGGATGTTTTTTTCAGTATTAGTTTATCTCATAAGCACATTTCAATTTTAAAGGGCATACTATCATAAAACAAATAGGTTATCTTTTATTTCTAAAGAAGTCTAGTGCTAGAGTGATTCGTTAGGGAATTAACTGGTAAAAAATAAACTTTTACAATAGTAGTTTTATGTTTCAAGGATGTAATTTGAATTGGAATACATTGAAATGCAAGTTTCTTTAAAAGATCTACTGTAATTCATCATTTGTTCTTCCTTTTTTTGTTTTCTGTTCACTATGAGTTGGAATCTCCATCATAGTATGTTTGGTAGTATTGTAAGGGAAAACTGACAATCAGAAGTTGTGTTATCAGAAACCACAGACAGACCCTACTTTCTAAATACCTTCCAGCAAGTTTTATCTTTGAATAGATGGATGGGTGTTCCTACTATCTTAAGCATACTTTGGTGAAGTTAAGGAAACAAACATTGTTGTACACATCTCCTCCCTTTGTTTTGCAAAGCCAAAGTAAACTTTGGGCTTATTATTTTATACAATTATTAACCAAAACTAGTAAGATACACTTAAAGCAAAAAATGTTTTAATCCCAGTTCTAGAGAAATAAAACTAAAGTTGTAGAATTCAGCTGATTTAATAATCTTTTAAATATATCAATTATATTCCATTAATACATATAGTTAGGCAGAAAGGTTGTTTGCTTTGTTTTTGTTTTTCTTTGGTATGTGTTTGTGTTTATGGGAGAATAGTGATTTTTTGTTTTTATATATGCTTTCAAGAAACAACCCATTGGACAGAGAATTATCTATATTCTACTATTCAGGTGTTAATGTTACTTTGTTACAGTAAAATCAATACTAGAAATCATACTCTTAAACTACAGCGAATTGTCTGTAGATAATCAAGAATGTGATTATCAGTAATGATTTTACTGTAATAAAGTTACATTGGTGGTTGTGTGCCATGGAGTCGGTTCCGACTCATAGTGACCGTGTACAGGGTTTCCTAGGCTGTAAATCTTTACAGGAGCAGAAAGCCTCATCTTTCTCCTGCGGAACAGCAGTAGTTTTGAATGTCTGATCTTGCGGTTTGCAGCCTGATTCGTAACCACTACGCTACCAGAATACCTGAATAATAGAAGCATGGAATAGTTATTAAAGTTAGAATGTTAAGTTCTTGGAGACAATAGAGGCTATATAGTGTATGGAGTTCTAGTGTGACATGCAGGATAATGCATTGAACTTCAAAGTCAGCTTGAACTACAAGGTTGGTGGTTCAAACCCTTCAGCCACTCCTTGGGAACCTTATTCAACAAGGTCGCTATAAGTTGGAACCAACTCCATGGCACTTAATAACAACAACACTATATGTAGTGGATAATCAGTAAATACTAAAACAATAAATTAATGTATCCATTTTACACATGAGGAAATTAAGGTCAGAGAGGTTAAATAAAAATTAAGGGGATAAAGCTAGCTAATAGTAATACAAGGAAGCTAGCAATACAAGCTAGCTAATAACAATACAAGGAAGCCATGTTAATGTTAGGACAATCAGATTTTATATTGTTAAGCACAACAAAATGTCTTATTATTTCACAAATCCTGATATGTAAAAACTAGTAGAAAGAGTTAGCAAAGCAGGTTATAGCGTACTCACTGAACCATGGTAGAGAAGTTCCCGCGTTGGCAAGCTGTGTACTGTCTTGGCAGGTAGTGTGCTGTCTTGGCAAGTAGTTGCATGGGCACTTCCTAAACGGTTTACAGAGCAATTGTTGTTGTCAAGTGCTGTCAAATTGATTCTGACCCATAACGACCCTGTATAGGGTTTCCAAGGAGTAGCTGGTGAGCTTGAACCACCGACCTTGCCGTTCAAATGGCTTTGCAGTCTGGCACATTAACCTACAGCGCCATACCAGGACTCCACTGAGCAATTAGTATCAATTGAAGTTTTCTCTTTCTGAGCCTGAATCTGTGACTACAATACAAAGTCAGAAGAGAGGCTTCACTGTGCTCAGAAAACCAAGATAAGGAACATATGAGTGAAGACCAAACCACCTGATATGATTTTAGTCAGCACTGTTGATTAAACCTGATTCCGGACTTAATTTTCACACAGAGAAAATGTTGTAAAGGTATAGATTTAGTGCTATAAAACAGGATTAAAGATTGTAATGTTTGCTAGTGTATATGCTTTGTGTGTGTATGTATTCATACGGATGTGTGTTTTTATGTATACATGTGCATATATACTGCTGTGTATGTTTATGTTTGCATTTGTGTGCGTGTATATATAACATAGCGGTGAAACTTGGACTGCTCCTGTACCGTCCTTGGTATGTTTGAGTTCATTGATGTGGCTACTGCATCAGTCCTACTCATTGAGGATATTCCTGGTCTTTACTGACCCTCTACTTTCCCAAACATGGTGTCCTTTTGTAATGATTGTTCTTTCCTGATGACAGATCAAAAATAAGCAAGCTGAAGTCTCCTCCTTGTTGCTACTAAAGAGCATTTTGCTTGTATTTCTTTTAAGGCTGAGTTTTATTTTATTTTATTTTATTTTTATTCCAGTTCTGAAGGGAGGACCCCTGGATGGTACTTACAGATTGATACAGTTCCACTTTCACTGGAGTTCATCTGATGAACAAGGTTCTGAACACTCAGTGGATAAAAGGAAATTTGCTTCAGAGGTAAGATAAGTTTTTTTTTTTTTTTCTTCCCATGGAAATTTCCTTAGAAATTGATATTTGGCCTTAATTTCAAAAGTAAACTTAATTTTGTACATTCAGTCCAAATTAAGTGACCCAAATCTTTGGATAAGAACCTCCACATTTGCTTCTTATGACCTTTATTTGAGATATTAAGTTAAGGACTATAAGACCTTTTTGTACTGTCTCCAAAGACACCATTTGCATTGAAAGTATAATTTTAAGATCCTGCTAATATAAATCTAAAATTAAATATGTACCTTCCCTCAAAAATAGGCATTAGCATCTATTTTTCTTAGAATTATAGATGAAATCATTTTTGCTAAGTTGTGGATAATTAAGGATTAAAATGAAGGACAAATTTATATTTAAAAACATACACATTTTCACTTTCTTTATCAACGTAGCAATGAAGAAAAAGTCATTGGATAAAATCTATGGTCTTTTATTATGCAAGTCATTTCTAGTTTATTTGTGATTGTTTTCCTCTCTGGCTTCAGCTTCACTTGGTCCATTGGAACACCAAATATGGGGATTTTGGAAAAGCTGTGCAACAACCTGATGGAGTGGCTGTTTTGGGCATTTTCCTGAAGGTTAGTTGATGGCCTAATTCTTCTTCTCCTGTTTCCAAGAGAGATTAATCATACAGAACATGTATAACAAACAGGATATTCTACAGATGAGCCTCAGAAATGCCTTTACTTTGAAGTATTTTCAGTCTCATTTTCCCCTCTGTATTTACTGGCAGCAGTGGAAAGACCAAAAGACAATTTGAGAGATATTTATTGGGAACTGTGTGGATGTGACTGTGAAGGATGTAAAGAGGTATCGTTAGGATAACTAGCAAGGTTTTCATTTCAACTGAATCCTGTTGATGCTGTTGTCTCGTGCCATCGAGTCAATTCTGACTTGTGGCAACCCTATGTGTTAGAATGGAACTGCTCCATAGGGTTTTCTTTCATGGTGTTGGGTGGGTTTGAACCACCAACCTTTCAGTAACCAGCTGAGTATAAATTGCCATCTGAGGACCTTCAACTTAATCCTAGAAAGGACAATTTTATGGTTTAAAAAAAAGAAAAATCCATTGCCCTTTAGTTGATTTGACTTCTGGCAACCTCATGTGTGTCAGATATAAAATTAAGGTCAAGTTTTGGAGAGGTGAAGACAGTAATTGTCTGGTTTGAGAGAATTTCAGACGATAGTGGGGCATACAGGTGGAACTGCTCTCTAACGGTGGTCAATGGAAGAAAGGTCTGGTTACATATTCATGGATACATATGTGGAAGGGAAGCTGCATAGATACCCATGAAACCATCCAAGGAAAGCATGGAGAGAAAATAAATTGACTGAGGATGCAACTTTTGAGAATCTCCAAAGTGTATTCTTGCCATTTGAGGTTGTTGTTGTTGTTGTTAAGTGCCGTCTAGTCGATTCCGACCCATAGCAACCCTGTACAGGGTTTCTGAGGGTGTAAATCTTTAGGGGAGCAGAAAGCCTCATCTTTCTTCCGCGGAACTGCTGGTAGTTTTGAACTGCTAAACTTGCGGCTTGCAGCCCAATTCGTAACCACTACGCTACCAGAGCTCTATTTGAGGTAGTGGGGGGAAAAAAAAGCTAGTGAAATGAATAAAAAAGGAATATAAGAGTAAAGAGAAATTCAGATGCTTGAAAACATAAGGACAACAAAAGGAAAGGGAATTTTTAAAAAGGAAGGTAGACCATAGTGTACAATCCCACAAGAAGTTGAAGATAAACTCCAAAAGAGTATTTGTTTGCATTATGACAGTTGGAGGTCAGTGGGCATTTTTGAAAGGGTGGAAGATTCAGTGAAAGTAGGAGTGTCTATGGCACTAATTTAATCACGCTAAGACTGATGGGTGGCATTTATAAATTGATGGGTTTTAGTTTGCTTTATGAAGAAATTTTATGATCGAGCCACTCAAAAACTGACATTATGGACCTACTGAATTATGGTATTTTATCTCGTGTGTTTTTCTACAGATAGGCAGTGCTAAACCAAGTCTTCAGAAAGTCATTGATGTACTGGATTCCGTTAAAACGAAGGTAAAGTTGAATTTTCTGACACTTCATTGATGTTGTTAAGTGCTATTGATTTGGTTCCGACTCATAGTGACCCTGTATAGGGTTGTCATGGAGCAGCTGATAGATTTGAACCAAAGACCTTGTGGTTCACAGTCCATTGCTGATCCTATTAGTGATCTTTTATTCATGCTCCATTCATTCTCAAAAATTATTTTGATCAAACTGAGTATTCTCTTTGGTATGTGATGTTGGATGAATAGTGTATAACAAAAGTCAATCCTGATATGAGCATGATTCTGAGACTTGTAGTTACTCTTGTTTCCCATCACTTGAACACCCAAAAGTAAAAGTCAGAGGATTTTATGGTGGTTGCAAGGAAGCTGAAATGGTCTCTGTTCAATTATTCTCTTGTTTCCATCGCACCCACTGTCACTGAGGCAATTTGAGCTCACAGTGACCCTTTATATAGTTTCCGAGGCCGCAAATCTTCATTTGAGCAGAAAGCCTCCTCCTTCTCCAATGGAGCCTCTGGTGGGCTTAAACTGTTGCTTCAGTTTAGCAGTCCAGTGCTTATCCTACACTATCACTAATTGTTATTGTTGTTTGGTGCCATCGAGTTGGTTCTGACTCCTAGTCACCTGTGCATAACATAATAAAGCACTGTCCAGTCCTGCACCATCCTCACAATACTGTAATGTGTGAGCCCTTTGTGGCTGCCACTGTGTCGATCCATCATACTAGGATTCTTCCTCTTTTTTTTGCTAGCCCTCCATTTTTACAAGCATTATATGCTTCTCCAGGACTGGCCCCTCCTGATTATATCTCCAAAGCATGAGAGATGAAGTCTTGCCGTCCTTGGTTCTAAGGAGCATTCTGGCTGTCCTTCCAAAACAGATTCGTTTGTTCTTCTGAGTGCATGATACTTTCGGTAGTCTTTGCCAGCACCCTAACTCAAATGCATGGATTCTTCTTCGGTCTTCCTTATTCATTATCCAACTTTCACACGCATATGAGACAAATGAAAATACCATAGCTTGGCTTAGGAGCACTGTGTAGTCCTAATCTGACATATTTGCTCTTGAACACTTTGAAGCGCCCCTTGGCCAATACATATTGAGTACTATATCCAAGTCAATTTACTAGTACAAGGAATACAAGGGTGTACAAGAAAAACAAAGCCCTACTTCATGGAATTTTATGTTTCATAACTTCTTAGAATTCATCCATCCTGTGCTAAATAAATCCTCTCTACAACATAATTCTACTGAAGTTATCGAGACTCAACTTAGAAGTTGCAGTCTCTTCCGTCACGGGGAATCCTTGCTTTGTAAGACTCATCCTCAAATTGAAGTAGCACCTTTTTTCCTAAAATATTCAGATTACTTCTAGCTTGACCCTCTTGTATTGTATATTGAATCATATACAGTAAACCAAGTCCTCCTTTCAGATGACCTTTGTTGTTGGATTCTGACTTGTAGTGACCCTATGTAGGATTTCTGAGGGACTGATGGTGGGTTTGAACTTTTGACCTTTCAGTTAGCAGTCCAGTGTTTATCCTATAACACATCAGAACTCCTCAGATGACCTTACTTTGTCCCTAATAGACCCTCCACCTTCGGCCTAATTATCTTAAGCTCCTTTAACTATTCTTAAATTACATATTTATCTGTGTTTGAAACAACCTCATTCCAAAGTAACTCATTCCTGTTTGCATCTATTGCTTCAAAGGGTAGTGTCCAGAGCTAAATGCAGTTCTTACTTCTGCTCTATAGAAGGACAATACTCTCACCATCAAAAATTCCACATTTCTGTTATTGCACCCTAAAATGACATCATGTTACTGGAGCAGTCTAACTTTAAATGCAGATATGATCAGTTTATGACTTTGTGGCAAATATAAGAGATTGTTTTAGAGGACAAGATGAGAAACAGACATGTGGAAAAAATAGATTTTCTTGCTCATATCTACCAGTCTGTATTTTCAAGTCAAATGTCTTGTTATTTTGACATTTTTTTTTTTCATTTTATCTGCTATCAAATATGGAAGCTCTCTTTTAAAAAGCTTAATAGCTGTCAGAGGAACATTGTTGTTGTTAAGTGCCGTCGAGTTGGTTCTGACTCATAGTGACCCTGTGTAGGTTTTCCAAGAAGCGGCTGGTGAGTTTGAACCACTATGCTGGCATATGCCTATTTATTTTTTCTAGTCTTCTTACTGTGGAGCTTCGGGTTAATGTATTGGACCACAAGGTCAGTTTGAACTGCAAGGTTGGTAATTCAAGCTCACCATCTGCTCCTTGGAAACCGTATACAGGGTCACTATGAGTCGGAATTGACTTTTGACTGGACTTAACAATAACAACTGCAAATCTCCTTCCTGCCTCCCTTGCACTCTGATCATGTGGCATTTTTAACTTGTGAATTTGTCTTTTTTCAGGGTAAAAGTGTCGATTTTAGTAACTTTGATCCTAGCAGCCTCCTTCCTGACAACTTAGACTACTGGACTTATCCAGGCTCACTGACCACCCCTCCACTCCTGGAATGTGTTACCTGGATTGTGTTAAAGGAACCCATCAGTATCAGCAATGAGCAGGTTGGTTTCTAATGAGCAGACTGTTGAGAGAGGAGGAACATTCAGTTCAGACAGAATAGGCTGACCTTTGGAATCAGACAGACCTGAGCTTTAATCCTCCTTCTGCTGTTCCTAAGTGGAAACTATTGCCTACAATAATGCCTGACATTTGCCTTAGTTATCTAGGGCTGCTGTAGCAGAAAGACCACAAGTGGATGGCTTTAACAAACTAATTTATTATCTCACTGTTTAGAAGGCTAAAAGTCCAAATTCAGGGTAGCAGTCATAGGCGAAGACTGTGTCTCTTTGTTGGCTTTAGAGGAAGTTCATTGCTATTAATTTTCCTGGGCCTAACAGTTTCTCAGCACAGGAAACCCAGATCTACTTCTGGCTTTTCTTTCTTGTTGGTAATGAGGTTCCTCAGATCTCTGCTCACTTTTTTATGCCTCAAAAGAGATTGACTCAAGATACTACCTAATCCTGTAGATTATATCCTGTTACATTAACACAACTGCCTCTAATCCTGCCTCATTAACATCATGTTGTTGTTGTTGTTAAGTGCCGTTGGTTGTTGGTTCCAACTCATAGTCACCCTGTACAGGGTTTCTGAGGAGCAGCTGGTGGGACTGAACCATGAATTTTGTGGTTCGCAGTTCAGTGATTATCCTACAGTGCTATACCAGGAGTCCCATAAACATCATAGAAGTTAGAAAATTACATCAGATCACAACATGGAGGATAATTGCACAATGCTGAGGATCATGGCCTAGACAATTGACACATAATTTGGGGAACACAATTCAATCCATCAAAACATTAAAGAATATTTGTTGTTATTAACCATGATGCCTCAGGCAGCTTGTTTAATCTGCCAAACCAAATAGCCATTGTGAGAATTAAATGAGAAAGGTGTCTGTCACCTAATAAATGCTGCTTTGTAATTTATGATGAAACGGAGACCCAGAAAATGAGATTTCATATTCCAGGTTATGCATTTCCGTCCCATGCCTGCTCACATCAGAACTCACTGTAGTTTTCCTTAATCATGTCAGCTTGCCTTTCTGAATCTTAACAAAGGTAACAGTCATCTCTTGGAGAAACAGTATCTAGCAAAACTCACTTTGGGTTGGTTTACAGGCTAAGACCAGAGACTCCTACATTTAACATATGCTGTGGTTTGTGATGTTGAAATGATTAATGCAGTTAAGTCACTGATGAGTGTGCACAGAAGTGCATATAAATGAATTTTTCTTAGACTATCTATCTGTGTCAGCCTACCATTGAAATGTAAAAAATGGACATTCCTTGGTAGGATCCATAGGTGCTTGAATCCTCGATAATTTAATGTGCTTAAAACTTACAAATAGAGCTAAAACATTTTAATAATGAATTTGGCATCATGGAAGTCTACAGCTGGCATGTGTAATAAGGTATCACATTGTCCAAATTGCTCATCTTTACAGATAAACTGTCTGAGGTACAGGAAATTTCCTATCAATTTATGAGTTCCAAAATATTTAAAATTTTTCTTTAAAGGAAATCTACTTCTAACTGAAAATTTACTTCAGTATTTCAAAGTGCACCAAAGAAAACTAGCATGCTTGATGGTATATGACTTTAAAATTAGCCTCATAGTCATAAACTATTTGAGCAGTTTTCTTGGAGTAGTAGCATAAGAAAAATTGTAATGCTACTTCTTGTAAAATTACGAATTTATAAAGTTGTGTTTGAGTTTCAATCTAAAACATGGAAATTATTTTTCCTGCCTTTATTGAGCACAAACCCTGTTTGAGATCCATAGCCTGGCACTGAGAGTTGTTATAATAAATAGATTTATTGTGTACCCCAGTACACACCCATAACATATACAAAGGGATTTCAAAAAGTTCATGGAAAATGGAATTAAAATATAATACAAAATTTCAAGAACTTTTTGAAGTACCCTTGTGTGTACATATAAAAAAGGGCAATCAAATTTACTCCATTAGTCATGCGCTCTGAGTTTGCTCTTTAAAAAGGAAAGTGGTGTTTAAACTAGATATATTAATTGTATCTATAGGCAAAAAGAAGAAGCCTGGTAGCATAGTGGGTTTTTGAGTTGGGCTGCTAACTATAAGGTCAGTAGTTTGAATCTACCAACCACTTCATGGAATAAAGATGAAGTTTTCTGCTCCCAGAGATTTAAAACTTCAGAACCCTATTCAGGGTTGCTATGAACAGCTGGAACCAGCTCAATGACACACAGTCACCACCACAGGCAAAATACCAACATTTGCATGTCATATAACAAGGAGTCAAAGGTGGGGAGGTTTTGATTCTTCCCTTGGCATTCTTCCCTTGCCTCACTCATCTGCAGCTTCGTCCTCAAAGTGGTTGAAAGCGAAGTTTGAGTATCACATGTGAATACAACCAAGCTCAGAGAGGGAAGGGATGAGCTCTTCTTGCATTGGCTCCCTAAGAGCTGGGAAACCTTTCCCAGAAGCAGACATTTCATCTCATTGGGTAGACTTGTTCCTTGACCACTTCTAAACTAGTCCCTGGCAAGGAAATGTGGTCACTGTTATCGATTGAAATGTGTTCCCCTATATTATGTACCATAAATCTTAACCTCTATGCCTATGATTATGATCCCATTTGTGAATGGGTTATCTTTCTTATGTTGATGATGCAGAATTAGTGTAGGATGTGTCTTGAGATATAAAAGAGATTAAACAAGAAGCCAGAAGCAGAAATGGGGTAAGAAAGGCACCAAGACACGTGTAGATTTCCAAGGAACCAGAAAGCAGAAACTGAAGAGATAAGGATTTTCCTCCAGCCCTAACAGAGCAAAAAAGCCTTTCTCTAGAATTGGCACCCACCCTGATTTCCAAACTTCTAGCCTCCTAAACACAATGGTTGCTAAAAACCTCCCATTTGTGATATTTCTGCTATAGACACACTAGATAACTAAGACAGTCATCATGGTCATTTATGATCTATACAGATTTACTCCCTGAAGATTAAGGGAAGTATGATGTCTGTTAAAGTATGGGGGTGGGGTGGGTGGATGGTAGTTAAGCAATAGAAAAGGGTCTGCTACATTTTACCAGTTTTATTCTCTATGTTCATGCTGTGTGTCTCTGATGTTTAAATAATGAGCCTTCTTTGTCAATGTGAAAATGCAATGCATTCGACAGTGTGAGGAGTAGAACTCAGCAGGCTAATTTGATTTTTTTTTAAAAAGTTTGATTTGATGGCATTTTACAGCAAATTCCTATGATTCTATTATAAAAAACTACCCCCAGATGCTATTAGAGATTTTCCTTGAATTGCATAACAGCAGTCATGTATGTTACCATAAGTAACCCATGTTGAAGTTGATTTTATGGAAATGATTAAGGGAATATGGCTGAATAACAGAGATCAGGTTGAAGTCTATTGATATATGGTGGTGGTGGTGGATGGTTTTGTGCTGTGGAGTCAGTTCCGACTCATAGGGTTTTTAAGGCTGCAAATCTTCGTGGAAACACAAAGCCTTATTTTCTCTCATGGAACATGTGGTAGTTTTGAACTGCTGACCCTGAGGTTAGCAATCCGACTTATAACCACTACACTACCAGATATATGTTATTGTTGTTGTTGTTAAGTGCCATCGAGTTGGTCCCAACCCATAGCGACCCTGTATAGGGTTTCCAAGGAGCAACTGGTGAGCTTGAACCACCGACTATGCGGCTCAAATGACTTTACAGTCCAGCGCATTAGTCCACAGTGCCATACCAGGACTCCTCTCACAAGCCACTCTCTTCATTTAAATCAAGTCTTGCACAGGAAAAGGAAAGTATCACTTTGGGAAAAAAAACAAACAAGCACAAAAACTTTGAGACAGTAGATGGGTTGAGAACTGCCCATGTCATAGATTTGGGGCAAGAAACTGAAATAGGCTAAAAGGGAACTTTTTAATCATTGGCAAGGTTCTGAAATGCCAGATTGGGCAAATTCATTCTTAGTTTCTGTATACTTAAGCAAAGATGCCAGCACGTCAGTCTGCCCCTGGAACTTGCAGATCCCGGAACATTTTATCTAGATGCTGTAATTTGACTACTCTGGAGAAGGAAACAAAACTTTAATTTGGATCTTGAATGACTATTATTTTGCATCTCAGAAGTATGATTTTACTGGCTTTTGATGTTTGATTTTTAAATTCAAAGAAGACAAGCTCCTTGAAAATTTCCCTCTATGGATACCAACAGTTTTATATATAAATCTTACTTGTAATATATACGTATGTATACGTCTATATGCTGCAAAGTCATTTGAACTGCAGGATTGGTGGTTCAAGTATACCAGTTGCACTTTGGAAAACCTATACAGGGTCACTATGGGTCAGAATTGACTCGACAGCACTTAACAACAACAACATATATAATGTGGAGTCCTGGTGTGGTACTGTAGGATAAGCATTGGACTGCTATCCACAAGGTGACTGGTTCAAATCTACCAGCTTCTCCTTGGAAAACTCTATATAGGGTCACGATGAGTCAGAACTGACTCTATGGCATTTCACAACAAGCAATATATAAAAGGATATGAAATTATTGTGTACATCTACACACACACACAAAAAAAAAATAAACAAAAAAACCCAGAGTGACTAGAAGCAAATACTGTTGAATGATGATGCACTGAGGGGACTGTAATCATTGTAGTGAAACGAAATACAATAGGATGAGTATAAAACTGATATTCTCCCACGTAAACTATCGCTCAGTTCACAATAAAAACTTAAAAAAAATTAATAAGTATATGCAATTATACAACTATTGAGAATCTAGTTGAATTTTGGTCACTGACATGGCACAATGAATAGTAGAGAATGTATTTCAAGATCTAACACAAGCATGTAAGTGAATATTAATGTGAGACTTACATTTTTAAAACATTTTGTCTCTTAGGTGTTGAAATTTCGTAGTCTTAACTGCAACGGGGAGGGCGAACCTGAAGAACAAATGTTGCAAAACTGCCGTCCACATCAGCCCCTGAAAAATAGGCAAATCAGAGCTTCCTTCAAATAAGATGTCCTAGAACTAACTGGTGTTCAAATACTGACTCTTTAGATGTTTTCCGTTAGCTAAGCAGACCCCACAGCCAGTGTCCAGATAATGAATCTTTGGCTGATTCCCTTTTTCTGAGCACAAATCAACCTTGCTGATTTTGATCCTGACTGCTTTGGTTTTCGAGACCCTTCATCTCTCACCTGACTGACTAATAAAATGTGAAGAGCTAGACCAGTTGTCATGCTTGACGAAATTGCTGTGATTGGTGCTTTGTTTAACAATAGTAGTTTTTCTGTAGCAGAGAATATATACAAAGGATAGGAAAAAAATAGTTTGCTTTGTTCACAGCACATAGGGTGAAGAGTATTTGCAGTTCACAAAAATGTTATTTTATAAGCCTAGAAAAAAGCCTAATTGTTTAGAGAAAATTATTATCATGAGGCAAGTTGAGCTATGTAAGGTAATTCAGGGAAAATAGTCATGGTTGTATGTAATGTAAATTAGATGAAATATATATTCATGATTCCAAGATGGTATATTTAAAAAAAAAAAAAAACTTTGAAAATTCTTATACGTTTATAACAATGTTATCTTAAATATGATTTATGTTGTAATTTAGAGACTTTGGAATTACCAATATGTAAATGAAGTATTATCTATAAGCATTGTTTTAATTAGAGTTGTGATACAGAGTATATTCCCATTCAAATAATATATAACTTGATAAATATTGTATTTTAGATAAATTCTCTAATAAAAAAATCAGAATTCTATTTTGTGATATTTTATTGTATCCTGGACAAGTGTATCATTTGGATGAGGCACATGCCTACTTTTGTCACTCATATGCCTCATAATTGAAGGAGTCTTCGTAAAAGGAAAAACTCCTGAAAGTCACTAACTATGGGCTTACTTTTTGCCAAGCACTCTTTTAAGGGCTTCCAGAATATTAACTCATGCAATCCTCCTAACAACCCTATCATAATTAATCATGGAGAATAGAAAGAAGAACTAACCACATTTAAAAGTAGCAAGATGGCGAAGAGGGAAGAAGGAAGTATGTGCTGAATCAATGCAAAGTTGTTGGAAATAAAATCAATAAAAGTCCATTTTATTCAGAAAGGAAATTCAAATGATACCTAAAAATAAAAGAATAATTTGAATTCTAGAAACACAAAGTATACCTATCTAAGCAAGAAGACGAAATGAAGTAAAAGTCTCCAATTACTTGTGCAGTGACCATGGAATTCTTGGTTAATGACTCATTCTGGAAAACAGAGTTTAGCACACAATTCAGCTTCTGTGCTTCAAGGCAAAGGAACTTATCTTTTAAATAGAAATTTTCTAAAGTCATTTACACTCTTAACCTGTTTTTCTAAAGAATTACCCTGAGGTTTATACAGTAAAGATCATAAACTCCAGAGTTTGAAAACTTGTTTTGAATACCAGCTCTTCCCACCTCTCAGATACATGGTGTAAAGAGATGATAATCTTGAGTGTTGTTACAAGTGTGTTAGATGATAGTTGGCATTCAAAAATAGCAGCAGTTCTTTTTATATTTTAAAATGATTTTGTCATTCATAATTTTTCTCTACTTCATTGTTCATTGCTTTGGGAAGGAGATTCAAATAACCAATGTTAACAGACTTGTATATAAATTAAGCGTCAACCTCTGGATGAGTTGCTGAGAGTGCCTTCTGAATATAAAAGGAATTTAATTCATGAATATTTTCACATGCTAATTTTCAGCAATATGCTGAACCAGAAACTTTTCAATAATTGAGTTGTTGTCAAGTACTATCGAGTCAGTTCTAAATTGTAACAATCCGTTCCAAAGAGAGGTGACCCAACAGAATGCAGAAATCATC